ATTTACTGCTTAGATTTGGCTATAATTTATGATGATGAGATTGTCCGTTTACACGGAGTTTTCCCCACCAAGTTTGTTCCCTAATTTTTTGGGGGTTTTAATTCCGGAATAGAAAAAGATTTCCGAAAGTTTGTATCTATGTGAAAAAGCTTTGCAGGAAGCTATGGGAACAGAACTAAGGTTCAGCACTGCATTCCACCCACAGACAGATGGGCAGTCAGAACGAACGATACGGACTTTGGAAGATATGCTTCGCATGTGTGCTTTGGATTTTCAGGGGAGTTGGGAAGATTATTTGCCGCTTGCAGAGTTTGCTTATAATAACAGCTTCCACTCCAGCATCGGTATGGCACCATATGAGGCTTTGTATGGTAGGAGGTGTAGATCACCTATTTGTTGGAAAGAGGTCGGGGATAGAGCTTTGCTTGGGCCCGAAATTGTACAAGACACCTCTGAAAAGATCGAAACTATTCGGCAAAGGCTCAAAACAGCTCAAGACTGACAGAAGAATTATGCAGACGTTCGGAGAAGACCTCTCGAGTATGAGGTGGGTGATCATGTGTTCATCCATGTTTTTCCGATGAAGGGCCAAGTCAGATTTGGGAAAAAGGGCAAGCTGTCGCCCCGTTACATTGGGCCGTTTCAGATTTTGGAGAGGCTTGGTCCAGTCGCCTACAGAGTTACTTTGCCATCGGGATTCGAGCAAATCCATAATGTGTTTCATGTGTCGATGTTGAGGGGTTACCTCCGAGACCCGTTACATGTGATTGATTATCACCGAGTATCTATTGATGAAAATATGGAATATGCTGAATGGCCGGAACAGATTATTGATCGGCAAGTGAAACAGTTGAGAAGCAAGTCCATCCCAATGGTGAAAGTGGAATGGAAAGAACACTATGGGACGGATGCCATGTGGGAAAAAGAGGAGAAAATGCGACTACGCTATCCACATTTGTTTCCCGACGAAAGTAACTTAAGTTTTGAGGACCAAACTTCCTAAAGGGGGGAAGACTGTGATACCCCTGTTCTGTATTATGTGAATTGGTACCTAATACGTATGTGATTATATGTTTTGATGTGATTTGGCGTGCCATTATGTGAATGTATGTGATTTTGAAATTCTATCTGTTCACCGTAGGAACACCTGTTTGAATAATCTGGTTTGGAAATTAAATTGAGGGCCTTATCGGCCACAGAACCCGAAATTGATTACGCCATTGTGATTGGCATAATATTTAGAGCCTACGGTGAAATTTAATTGAAAAACTGATTCAGGCCAGATTAAATTGATTAATTAATGAATTGGTGCTCAAATATGTGATATTAAATTAATGGGGCTTAGTGGGGTTATATGGGACCCTTATGTATTCAACTCCCTCATTTTATTTCATTCTGGGCTGATTAAACTCTCTAGAGGAGGAGAGACCCAAACTAGAGAGAGAGAGGGGAGGAAATCAAAGTTTTGCTCTTGAATCTTGGAAGTCTTGAAGACAACTCTAGACTTGACCATAAATTGGAAGAATTGAGCCTCTAGGTAAGCATTGATTCTTGAATTCATGAGTTAATGTGTAATCTTGTGTGTTCAAGGGTTGTGGTGATCAAGAGCATGATTTGAGTTGGTTTTATTGAAATTGAGGCTTGATATGTGCATGCATGTAAAGAACTCCTATGGAATCACAAAACCTAGCATTTAATTTGTGAAATTGTGAAAGATTGGTAGTGTAATCCCACATGCAAGCATGTCTTTGTTGAGTCTTATAGCAATGAGCACTAATTGCATTATTTGAAATGAATATGAAGTCAAAATGGGCATGCATGTACAAATCGTGGGAGTATAAATCTTGAATGTTTGAATTTGATATGTTAGTGATGAATTTGGATTAATTTGAGGCATGCATGTAAATGATGTAAGAAATTGAGCCTCCTAAGGTTGTGATTTTGTATTGGTAGCATGTTAACATGTGTAAATGTGTAATTTGAGCCATTGCATGCAAGTAATGTGGTCGAAATGTCGAAGTCGAGCTCAAGAACACCATTCTGGGTTTTCCAGAATTTTGAGGTCCGCTCGAGCGGGGAAGATGACGCTCGAGCGGGAAAATTGTGCTCCCAGCACTTTTTACAGAAGTGGGTGTCCGCTCGAGCGGGATACATCACGCTCGAGCGGGGAGTTTTTATAGACAGGCCTTCCGCTCGAGCGCTCTATTACACGCTCGAGCATAATTTTCATGCAACCAGTACTTTTGCAGGCCCTAAGGGTCCGCTCGAGCCAGGAAGTTTATGCTCGAACGGGGACCCTGTTTTCTGAAATTCTAAAAATGCATTCTGTGTTCTATTTTTCCATTCTCTTTCACTTGTAAGCACTCTTAGGCATATGTTAAGCATTGTAAATGAGTTAATGAGATAAGAATAAAGCCTAAAGAGGAATATCTGAATTAAAGAACGGATTGAACTGGTAGTGACCCTTTTGTGATCATGATATGTGTAGGGTCAAGTTCCAAGGCAAATCCACAAGCCGATCACTGTGAGTAATATCGATATTCAAATGCTTGTGAATGTCCAATTGTTTATTCCCTTATAACCTTTATGAGTTGCTAATTGGGATTGTGGACAAAAGTCTGACATGATTAAATGAATGGACCAAAGGTCGTTTTGATAAACATGAATAGACCAAAGGTTGTTTTGATAAAATTGGATGGACCGAAGGTCGTTTTGATAGAAATGAACGGACCAAAGGTCGTTTTGACATATATGAATAGACCAAAGGTCGTTTTGACATATATGAATGGACCAAAGGTCGTTTTGACATATATTAATGGACCAAAGGTCGTTTTGACATGAATGAGTGGGCCGAAGGCCGTTTTGACATGAATGAGTGGGCCATAGGCCGTTTTGACAAGAATGAATGGGTCGAAGGCCGTTTTGACAAGAATGAACGAGTCGAAGGCCGTTTTAACATAAATGAATAGGCCGAAGGCCGTTCTGACATGAATGGAAATCTGAAAGGGGCCAAAGGCCAGAATGTTGAAACTACAAGTCACTTGATTTAAAATTGATATAGTTATATATCTGTTAAATAGAAATATGAGTTGGGCCCCAGGCCGTTTGGAACCTGTTGTTCTATATTGTTATGTAATTTCTGTATTTGATATTATTCACTGGACTATCGCTCACGCTCATTCATGTGTTTGTAGGTGAGCCAAGAGAAGCCCAAACCCAGCCCTAGTGAAGTTTGCCAGGAACAACATGAGTTTTGAGAAAGTCAGCCTTGTGTCTCACGCACGAGACCTATCCTTGCCATTTTGTTATGTATTAGTATTTTGTCTTGTTGGCAAGGACTTTGTGTATATTTGTATATAGTCTGTTATGGGTTGACTTAGTTTGGATGATCCTGTCCGTAAAGAATTTATGGCACTGTGTTTTGTCGTGGGTTATTAACGTATATGAGTATGGTTTGTTTTGAAGTGCATATAAGCACGGCTCTATGGACAAAGTTTTAAATTTCTGCTTCCGTTTGGCCCCTTTACTCTGTTGAGTTACGTCTATTTTGGTTTAAGGCCATAGGTAATCTTAGAATTACTGGCCAGTTATGTCCTTAACCCATAAGGGTTGGTCATGACAACAACGCTGATGTCGAATCCACGACGATGAGCCACTCCGGAATCCACCAAAGCTTCAGGCCCGAATTCCACAAAATCCACTGAAGAACAACTCTCTTTTTTGCATTGAATAAATAAAACAAACAAAACCCTTTGATATAATCCACTCAATTCATGATTAAACTCTCACAGATATCAAAGGAAAACAAGTAAAGAAGCTCCAGATAAAAATCCTAATACCCAAGAACAAGATCTGGAAGCCGTACCCTAAAATTTGACTGAACCATACCTTTTATAGTAAACTGTTCCATGATCTCCGCTCGAGCGCAAGAATGGCCGCCCGAGCAAACTAACGCTTGAGCGCAAAAACACAACTTCTAGTACTTTTGCAGACAGTTCAAACTTTTATAATCAAAGATTCTCCGCTCAAGCGCACAAATGGCCGCTCGAGCGAACAAGCAACTTCGACTATATTTTTGCTTTTTGCTTCAGGGGCGCTGCCCCTCGACTCCGCCTGGGCGCTGCCCCCTGGACCCCCGCGAGCTGACCAAGCAGCTTGATCCCCGACATAATGAGCGAAGTGGCAAACAAGATAGGATTAAGATCACAAACTTCTCTGCAAGGCATAATTCGGGTTGGATTCACAACTAAAAACTCATAGCCTCACTAAAATAAAAGATCAAATAGAATTACAATTGAAAGGAGCTTTGTCAAACGGGATTGCCAAAAATAAAAACCTAACAACATTCAATCATAATTATTAAAAAAAAAAAAACAAAAAGCAACTAGTTTGGATTATAATTAATACCGCATAACCAATATTTCAATGAAGATAAATTTATTCTTCTTTATTATAATATCCAATTTGTAGAATTATGTTACAAGCGGAAGCTACTGGTATTCCTTCAAAAGAGAAATTACAAATTACACAAAAGCGTTATTGAAAATTACACTCACAAAAGCTAATAGCATCCACATGGATAAAAATTACAAAATAAAATACTGCTTCCTAAGTTAGTTTCTTCTTCTCTTCCTTTGCACCATTCTCTGAGTTTGCATCCTTGTTCCAAATTTCTCAACAAACCATTCATGATACCTTGTGGTCAGGGTGTGCCCAATAACAATCCCAACTATTAGCCCACTACCGTAACCCAACAATATGATAATCCAGTCAACAACACCACTTGGAAACTTTGAATCATCACCATGAAAGCTCAAGGATGGTGGTGGTGAGGCCTTTGAATTTCCACATAACTTCGATAGAGGGTAACCACACAGCTCGGAATTCCCATCATATGATCTATTTTCAAATGTATCAAACTGATTCCCTCGAGGAATAGGGCCCGTGAGATGGTTGTGAGAAACGTTTAGGAATTCAAGGAAAGTGAGTTGGGAGAGTTGTTAAGGGATCTCTCCTGAGAGCAAGTTCTGCGAAAGGTCCAATGATTCCAGCTTGATCAAACTTGCCAAGGATGATGGGATGACTCCAGTGAAATTGTTGTTGGAAAGGTTTAACATCTGAAGTCCACTGAGCCTTCCAAGAGATTCTGGAATTTCCCCTCCAAATTTGTTGTTTGACAAATCAATAGCTATGAAGGCCTTTTGGATTTTCGCGTATAATCTATGTGTGCCTTTGTTATCCATTGTTATTGAATACATGTAAGGCGGCATATGCAAAGTTAAAATTATCGATCTTGAATTTACAGTTGTAATTGGAACTTCTTGACTTGCCTGCATATATGTAAACTTTTCTGTCTTGACCATTATCATTGCATTCCAGTTTTCGAAGTATTCTGACGGTAAGTTTCCTGAAAAACCATTGTCAGAGAGGTCAATGATGCGCAATTTTGCAAAATTTAATTTGGCTTGAGAAACGTTAATGGCACCATGAAATTTGTTAGATCGCAAAATAAGAACTTGTAACATAGGAAGTGCTCCCAACCAAGAGGGAAAAGTATCCTCCATCTGATTATTTCCAAGAACAAGAATCTCAAGCAATTTACAATTTTGCAATGATCTTGGCACCAACCCATGTAAATGATTTTGACTTAGATCAATCATCTTCAAGTTTATCCCCATCATGTGAGGAATAGTGCCATGAAAATTGTTGAGACTTAGATTGAGCACTAACAAAGAATCACTAAAATTGGACAGACATTTAGGAATTGTGCCATTCAAGTTAACAGATCAAGAATTTGAAGAGAAATACTATGGCAGATTATTGATGGTGGAATTTCTCCAGATAGAAAGTTACCAGGGACTTGATAAACATGGATTGACGGTGGTGGAATTGGTAATGATCCTTGCAGTCTATTAAAGCTGAGGTCTAAAGTTATTAGTGATTACCATGGAATGACATTTGGATGTCGTTCAAAACCTGTCAAAAAATTCTGCGAAAGGTCGACCATTACCATAGTTTCTTTCGATTTGTTCCAAAACCAAGTTGGTATTTCACCATGAATTTTGTTATCACTAAAAGAGAACGTCTCCAATTCATCCTGGAACTGTAGGAAATTGGGGAACTTCCTCAAGTTACACGATACCAATCCTAGAATATTAAACTTCGGAATAGTAGCATTGGTACTATTTTTGGTAAGCACCGTTAATTTGTTGGCTGACAAATCAAGGTGAAGAAGGTTTCGGTGCTTCAAAAAAATGTCGAGCTCGACTTTACCACCCAAGTTGTTTCCAGCAAAATTAAGATCTTCAAGATACTTGAGTTGAGATAATGAGCTTGGAATCATGCCATGTAGTTGATTGTCTGCGAGTTCTAAAAGAGTTAATTTGGTGAGGTTCATAAGCCAAGATGGAATTTGACCAACTAATTCATTTGAATCGATAGACAAACGGGATAGTTGGGTCAGGTTAGCTAGAAACTGTGGTATCTCACCACGTATTTTTGTATTTACAAGGTATAAGTCAGTGAGTTTGGATAGCTTACCAAGTGCCAAAGGTAAAGTTGGTACATCAAAATTATTTTCACGAAGGTCTAAGTAAGTTAGTTGTGATAGGTTTCCCAGCGATGCAGGAATTTGTCCCCAAAAGATAAGATTATTTCGCGCTCGTACAGTATTGATAAAATTTTGATATTAACATGACTTGACATGCATGACTCATGTTTGAATTGTTAAAAATTAACTTGATATCGGCTCATGAGAAAAACTAGCCAAGTTTAAAAATAATTTAAAATTGATTAAGTTTTTAACCCAAGTTTGAACAAGCTACTATTCATCTCGATAAGCTTATAGAACAAATAAAAAAAAATTAAACAACTAGAACTTGACTCATTATTGACTTGATTAAAACCCTCACTTGAGATTGATTTTAAAAGTAAACAATCTAAACTATTTTGAAACTCGTCAAAATAAACAAGTTAAACTTGAGCATGCTCATACTAAACTGAGGCTCTGTTTATAATCTCCTTAAATAAGAAGTTTTTTTAATTAAAAAAGCCAAAGGGGAATTTTTTAAGGTCCCAGATACTAAGATTTTATAAGGTAAATGACATACAATAGTTTCATAGTAGTTAAGGTCTCTCAACATTTTCACAGAGAAAATTTGACTTAGAGAAATTTTGCCCGACTTAGAGAAATTTCACCCTGACTCAAAGCAATTACAATTTTTACAAAGAAATTTTGAAATTTCTTTGTAAAATCAGAGAAATTTCTCAGTGAAAATTGAAATTTCTCTGAGTCGGGAAATTTTTTTTTGAATCGAGCAAAATTTCTCTAAGTCGAATTTTCTTTGTAAAAATATTGAGGAATCTTAGATAATAAATAATAAAAAAAAAACATCTTAGACCTCTCTTACTGTACAAAGTTGGAAAGGGATGTTTCACTACTTTTTCCAAAGCCAAAAGCAAATAAGTCTGTTTGAGATGACTCGATCAATCTTATACATCAATCATTCACGTTTTTCTATAAAACTTGAAAAATACATCCTAAACATATTAACTTTTTCACCTTATAAAAAAAACCAAATACCAAAAAAGCCTTAACAGAGTTTTTTTTAGAGATGAGGACGAGCTTGGTTAAATTCTCCACCTTTATAACTGTGCCCAAAGGGATAAACTACTGAGTGATCTTTATTACCCCCTTCCAAGAAATTTTTTGTCAAATTTGGTGCAATTTAACATTTTGTACGAAAATCTTGCCTGATTAGCCCATAGAATGTAACGCCCTGAAATAAATACCATAATCCAACTCCCAACAATATATACACAATGATATAGACAAAATGGTAATCTTTCATTAATCAGAGTTGCTGTACAAAAGGTGACACATGTGATATACATTCATAAATAGTTCATCCTAAATCTACATCATGAGTTACAAATAGTAATATGAAATGAAAGCTAGATAGATATTCACATGCCCCAAAGGCATACATCTTTCCAAGACCGTGCTTGGTTATAACAAAATGAGTCTGAAGCTCAATACAAATAAAGCCCTAGGCTTGTCCAAAAAGTTAAACACAAAATAAACAAAATTAGCCTTCAGTCCCACAGTCCTATCAAGCTAAGTCCTTGGCAGAGGCATGTCATCAACACCTGAAAATGGTTTATCCCAAGTAGGATGAGTCAAAGCCTAGTCGAAATAATCTAACACAATATATGAATTTTAACAAAGATATAAGTATGATGTGTATAAACAATGCCTGTGATAAAATCATCCATAATCCACAAGATCATAAGATGCCAAGTTTTATATCTCATTTCATTGTTCATATCCATTTCATTCAATTAACCAATACTGAGGATACAATTCATTGGGTCTCAAATCAATATAGTTATCATACAAATTCATTTATTTGCCATTTTACGGAAATTTCGTCTCCGGGATCGGCACCCATGTATAGAAACAGTTTTCGGGACTTTCACCCTAGACACACATGCCAACTTAATTCACTAGAGTCCATCCTTTTTCTCCTCCCAAACATGAAGTACATCCATTTTCTCCTCCCAAACATCATACATATACAATGTATTAAAACACAGTCATGTTCAATGACAATCAATAAGAGATTAGTTTCAATTCACCAAATCTTCATGCAATGTCTATAACAATCATAACTATCCTCCACCGATAGCTCAAAAACAGATATTTCTAAACAGATATACAATCTCCAAGACAGATAAATTATCTAAATTTTCATGGGTAAGAGGTAATACATATCCAACTCCACCATTTATATAAATATTTATCCAATTTCACATTTCCAACACCAATTCCATTATTTATACAAAATAATTATTAGAAACAGATTAGGGCAAAGCTTCTTTTTCTCTCAAAATCCAATCTATGTGTCAAAATCAACAATTTTGACACATCTTTATATCTACATTCACAATCATTTTCTATACTTTCATTTAAAAACCTCTCTTTTGATTTTAAACCAAAACCCTAGATTTGTCTAAAATCTTCCAAATCCCAACGTCTATTTACACAACAACAAATAACTAAGTTAAAAATCATAGGAGAGTGTAGAAAGTCCCTACGTCAAGTTTAGAAGACTAAGAGGTGAAGTGGAGAAACTCCAAAGATGCCGTAACCATGATTCATTCGGATAAAAACGTAGCTCTTGAGATGCTCTACTTTTTTTGTAATAACCCAACCCTAGTACATGTTTTTTGGTATACTCTCGGTCCCTTATTCTGTGCATCTAAATACTTATTGTGAAATTTTATGTGAAAGTAAGTTTAATGGAGTGAATCTTATGCTTATAGATGTGTATCTGTTTAATATGAGAAATATCTGTTACAATTGTAGTGTTTGAATAAGGAATTGAAGGCCTTAGAAGCTTAATTATCTGAAATTGATTTTACATTTAAGATCAGCATGATTTTTAGGTCATAGTATGATTTTCTGTGAAATTTCAATTAGGAATGATTAAACTGATTAAATTTTGTTTTTACTCACTTTTAGATATATATGTTTATATTCTTTACATACTTGACTTAAGAGCCATTGCAAGGAAATCTCCTGAGAGAGAGAGAAATTAGGAAAGAAGAGGGTTTAAGAGAAGTTCATCAAGAAGAAGATTGGGAAGTTAAGAGGGATTGTAGGATTTAAAAGTTCAAGGTATGTGTGTTCTACTTAGAATCATTCCTCTCTTGGAAATGAGTAAGATTTCTTTTGTTAATCATGCAAATTAGAGTGTGTATTGGAGTTGTGTTTGTGGTAATGTTTGAATTAATAAGATGTGTTATCATTGAATTGATTTGGGGTTAAGTTAAGTTCTATGGAGAAGAATTCCATTCTAGTCCTTATCTTTGCATGTTTGAACTCATTTATGGATTTGGTTGATTGTATATATATTTGGGAATTTTATGGTAAGGATTCAAAGTGTTTAATTTATATTTGTGAATTGCAAGGAATTGAGGAATCAATTCATATTAAAATTGTTGTATGCTTGAAATATCTTTGTACATGATTTTTGAACCATGTTTCATTAATTAGAAAACCTAGTTAGAGCCTTGTGAAAGCCTGCCAAAAATTGAGTTTTGCTGGAAATTCGAACTGCAAACTATGCAGATTGCCGCACGTGCGGAGGTCATGGCCACACGTGCGGGAAGCCTTGCTGCACATGCGGGGCTCACAGCCGCACATGCGGCCCATGTTGCAAAATTTGGTTTGCTCCGTTTTACGTGCTTGACCCTCTGGTATTTTTGAAATCTATGTTTAATGTCCTTAAGATGCCTATAAATTCGATCGAAGTAAAATGAAATAGGAAAATAACTTAAGAAGAAAAGAGAACTAACGTATAAGTTGTGTATGTGTATAGGTCATAACTCGGGAGGGACAAGCGCTGAGTTACAGCACTGTGAGTAGTAGTACTGTAATCGTACATTTACTTACCGTTAATATTCTTATTATTAACGCTTTGTCCTTTGCAAGTAATTACGTTAACGTTTATGTTCATTGGTTATCGATAATGTGCTACAACCTAGAAATTACCTATGATTCCGCATAAGAATTGCATACAAACTACTGATGCTATGGAGTTGGTTAACAGAAGGAAATCATGAATATAAACTCTGCTTACCGGGAACATGATGTTTTGAATGGGAACATGATATCCCGAATACCCTCTTAGGGACTCCTATAGTCTGTTCGGTTCGGTACATGTCTTACGACATAGGTATGTGCCTAAAATGGATTAACATAATTGGATAATCGCATAGATCTACGAAACGTACTATAATAGTGCGTTCTGTTATCTGTAAGTTAACCTTATTGATTCAAGGTGAACAAATGGAACAATGATGCTTGTGTGTCCCGAATCATTCTGTTTTGCCAATGATGAATCGAGACCGCTATGAGGTAAATTGTTCTGTCCCTATTGATCGCACTGTAATGATATATGTGTCTTCTATCAATAAATATTGTTGATGTTATGATATACGTAAAACGATTATGTCAACTTGTAATGAACCATTGTGTGACGGTATTCTTATGAGTCTGGGGTATTCTGTTCTGTTTGTTAGTTCTATTTATGCTATGACATGATATGCGTTACGCGGTCTTTAAGACCTATTGATTTCTGGTATGGAACAAAGTGCTGTACGGAACTAAGTGCTGCAGTGCGAGTCACCTCTAGAATCCGTGCGAGACACCTCTTGAGTCCATACATATATGAACTGGGTTTAAAGCCAATCTGTGACATCTGGGCCTATGGCCGTTCTGTATCTGCTGGGCCTATGGCCATTCTGTATCTGCTAGGCCTATGGCCAATCTGTGAAACCTATCCAGCCTAAGGCCGTTCTGTATATCTCTGGGCTTGAAGCCGCTCTGAATAAAATCTGGGCCTAAAGCCGTTCTGAAAATGTTTACTGAATGGGATTTAAGCATGTATCTATGCAACTTTATGCATTGTTAATCAAGTTTATTTAATGTTAAATTTAAGTACTATTATTCATTGGGCTTGGCTCACTCTGTATTTTGTCTGCTCCTGTAGGTCATCAACCTGGAGGTCAGTCTTAACCCTGATGCTCGTCTCTCTTATGTCAACCTCAGTGTGTCCAGGTGCTTAAGTGAAGCCGGTGTATTTTGTGGAGTTTTGCCAAGCTTTGGCTTTGTATTTGAGGGGTGTATAACCTCTTCCTCACTAATGCTTTTGTTACACGCCCAATCATGGGGCCGGGTCTGTATATGTGTATGTCTAGTATTGGTGTGCAGGTGTATGTTTACTGTATCTTTATCTACATTATGCAATGATTGTGGTCCTGGCATAGTAGTGGTAGCTCAATGGATGTTGTTTTATGTTATTCTGTGTTGTTTAATGCTTCCGTTCATGCCCCATATGTTATACATATCGGATTTTATGTCTGTTTCTGAGGTGGTCATACCCAAACTTTTAGGGGCGGCTTTGGGGTCGTGACATTTTTCCCAAAGACACTAGAGTAGAGAAACTAATGGATCTAGGTGAAAATGTAGAGAAAGAGTGAGTTTTAGAGAGAGAGGGTCACGATCTAGGGTTTTGAGGGGAAAATATATGAAAAAGTGATGCAAAAAAATGCTATTACGAACTGATATACGCACAGTCCACTCGAGCGCAAGAAATGACGCTCGAGCGTTAGACACAATAAGTTGTTCCGCTCGAGCGTAAGAAGTGACGCTCGAACGCCAAGACACAATGAAAAAGGGCGACACTGCTCGAGTGCAAGAAGTGACGCTCAAGTGTAGATAACACACTCCCAGTAGTGTTGCAGACAATAGACCAACGCTCAAGCGTAGAAAGAACCGCTCGAGCGTGGAATACACTCTCCCAATAGTTTTGCAGACCTGCAAAAGTACTGAAAGTTTGCAAAGCCCGCTAAAATATTGCTGAAGATGAGGCATCATTCCATTTTGTTATTGCATTTACCATTTCTAGATCTTTGTGCACTCTATTGCCATAAAACCCTAGGTTTTTGTTTTTTGTTTTTTTTTTATTATGTTTTTTCGATTTGGAGATTTCGGCACTGATTTTTCGAAATTATACATTTAATTCGAAACTTAACTTCCGAATAAAAGTGATTAGTTCGACAAATTTGTTCTGTAAAAAAAAACACAAAAAAAAAACAACAACAACAACAACTTTCAATAGTTGATGTCCGAATATAATGAAATAATTTGGCAGTTGATGTCCGAATATAATGTGATAATTTGGCACTGGTTTTCTGACTGAACACCACAAAAAAAAAAATTTGCACAAAAAACTAACATTTTCATCTTTGATAGAGTACCTAGGTGTGTGGAAATAGAATTTCCCTCCAAAGAGTAATTTGTAATGAAATTACAAATCTCATAAAGGAGAATGTAAGTATTCAAACGTGAAAAGAGATTTATATGAAGTAGCAACCTTAGGTGATGTCAGTGTAATTTACCCTCTATGTATATATATATATAGAAAAATGTTTGGTGGCCACAACTTCTGTGGCTCAAATGGCCAGAAAATGGCAAAACGACGTCGTTTTGCACCCAAAACGACGTCATTTTGGGTTTCGAGCCATTCGAGCCATGTATTTTCGGGTTACCAACCATTACTGATATATATATATATGAAAAATGACTCGTAGCTCGAATTTTGGCAGGCTCGAATGGCCCGAACTGCCCAAAACGTCGTTTTGGGCAGTTTTGTTCTTTTCTTTTTCTTCTTTATTTCTTTCCTTTTCATTCTTTCCCCTTCATTCTTTCAAACACAGAGACAGAGAGGGAAGAGAAGAGGAAGGAGAGAGGGGGAGAGAGAGAGAGAAAAGAGAGGACAGAAGAGAAGAGGCGATTGACGGTAATGGTCGGTGATGGTGGCAGCGATCGACGGCCCGATCTCCTCTTTCAAACCTTTTTTTTTTTCTAAGTAGATCTGGATCTAAAAAAAAAAATTATTGATGATGATAATGTTGATCCGGATCTACAGAGCAAGGGAATTTTTTTTTTTTTTGTTGATGAAGATGATGATGATGTTGAAGATGTTGAAGATGATGAACAAGATCTGCAGAAAAACAACGAAAAAAAAAATGATGAAGATGAAGATCGGTTGATATTGATGAAGATCTCTGTGTTGTTGATGAAGATGAACCCAGCTTCCTCTTTCTCTCTCTGTTCTTCATCTTCAAAGAGAGAAGGAAAAAAAAAATCGAAAACAACGTCGTTTGAACTCGGGCCATTCGAGCCGTGATGATTTCGAGCTACCAATCGGGATTGTATATATATATATAATTAGAGAGAATAGAAATGAGTGAAGTTGTGAATATAAAAAAATAAATTAATAAGTACTATATATGTTTGTGTATATATATATCTATACACTTATGTATAAGTGGGAGTTAATATTAGCTATAGTACAAGATGGCTTTTACTTTTCTTTCCACTTTTGCCCCTATTTTGTGTGCTGTGTTTTCTTCTTTTTTCTTTTTTCTATTTTCTTTATTATTTGCTTAGACAATTTCATAATTTTTATATTTTGTTTATAATTTTTGTCTCTTTTGATAACACTTATAAATCAATTTTTTAATAAAAAAATTCACTGATTGTGTTTGATTGCAATTTTATATTATAATTTATTGTATTTTTTCAACTAATTTGAAAAATTAAAAAAAAAATGATATATTTTTAAGTTGTAAAATATAATTTTTGAAACTTATTTGAGACTTTTAATTTATATGGACAAAATAACTCTATTTCTTTTGTTTTAATTATAATTTTTGAGTGGATGTTAGATATTTGCATATGACATGTAATCAAATAAGTTTAACTTTTTTTTTAAACAGAATATAAAAAGTTATACCAAACAAATTTGCAATTTATTTTATTTTTTTGAAACTAATAATCTAAAACATTATAATCATAAAAATTCGCTTACAAGTGATACCAAATTGAGTTATTATTTATCAATACTCTATTCGTAATAAACATGAGTAGGAACCTATTAAATCATTAAAACTGTGACACATGAAATGATAAGTGTTTTGAGAAATTGGTAAAAAGCTGGCTTTTTGATTTTTTTTAGTCTATTTTGTCTTTTTGTGAGTAAAAAATATGAGAGGTGATGTGACTCAAAATGGGTAACAAGCTAAAAGCTGACTTTTTTAGCCCTTCCCAAAAGACGCCAAAGTATTGTACATAATTTTTCATATTAATATTTATTGTTATTCAATGATGACAAATAATATTCAAAAAATAATAATTTTTGAGCTGATTTTACAAATACTTATAGTAAAGCTTTAAATTTTTTACTTCTTATGATAAGGTTATTATTGCTAGAAAAAAACTATGTATTTGACAAATGATAAATGTTTTTTTTTTTTTTTTTTTTTTTTTTTTTTTTTTCTTTTGGGGAGAAGGGGGGGTTGTTAAAGTTTAAGTGAGTGTTGGATAGGATAATACAAAATATTGCTTAAGTAAATAAGAATTTTATGAGAGCGTTTAGAGATTAAAAATGTCAAATATTATTACTTACGCAGTCACCTAAAAAATAATATATTTTTGAAGATACTTTTATGTCATTTCGAATTATTTTTCCTTTTTATCCAATTAATAGTAAAAAATAATTCAATTTTTTTAGGGCATCCTAATCAAACATAATGCAATAATCTCCAATTCTTATTTGAGAGTAATGATATAACAATAGAATTGGGAAAATTATAATTAAAAAAAAAAAAACCTAGAGTTTGCTAGAGTTTTAACCCTATTTTTTTTTTTTTTTTTTAACCTAGAGTTTGAACCTTATAAACTCCAATTCTTGTTTGAACCTAGAGTTTGAATTTTATAACAAAATAAATTATGAATTTTTTATTTTATCAATTTAAACCATAAACTTTTGATTTGCTTTCAATCTAAACTATTTATCTATTTTTGTTAAGTAAAATAAATGAAAAAATATATATATTTTACTCATCAAATTCGACATAAATTATATTTTAGATATTTTGAGTTTAATGACTAAATATAATTTTTTTCATCCGTTTTATTTAACAAAAATAGACAAATAGTTTAGATTGAAAACAAATCAAAAATTTAGAATTTAAATTGATAAAATTCAAAATTCAAAATTTATTTTGTTACATGGTTCAAAACCTGGGATTTTTTTTTTTTTGTATTTTTTCCAATAGAATTTTATACAAATTTATATATAGAATAGTATAACTTCTTCTAGTTACTTCATTTTAAATCAAAATACAATCTATCATTGTCTTCATAATTTTAAAAATGCCATTGACACTTCATTATTAATATTTTTTCCCTATATAAATTTTTTATTGTAGTTGTGAAATTTAAATTTACTACCAAAACTATTATATTTGTGAAACATAAATTTATTACAATAGTATCTCGTGCCTTGCACGGGCATTTTTTTCTAGTATATTATAAAGGGATTAGACAATAAATAAATTTTTATGGATATTAAATTGAAAGGCCTTTTATGAAAAAAAATAAAAAATAAATAAAAAAAAAAAGAAGGTATGAAAGAAAGAAAGTAAAGGACATATATGAAATTTCAGGAGCAAACTGAAAAATATAATAAAAAATTATGGTTCAAATAATAATTTTAAAAAGGGTTAATTACATCAACTTACCTCAAGGTTTGGAAAAAAATAAAACAAATTATATAATTTTGACATAATTATATTGAATTTCTTTGAGATTTTAATTCGCATAACACTTAACCTATTTTTCATCAATAGTTTGTTAGTTATATGAATAAAAAAAATTATATTGTCATTTATTTTACACGAAATGTATATTTGACGTTATTTATTTTTGTATTTTTATACGATTTGCATTAATTCTACTTACTTTAGTCTTATTAAGATTTAAGACCATGTTCAATCCAGACTCAAATCTTTCATCAAATTTAAATTGATGAGAATTTGGTAAAAACAGTGTTCTAACCATTTCACCAAATTGGTATCAAATGAAGGGAGTACTACCTTTTTCATCAAATTAAGGAGCGTTTAACATTTCATCATATTTCGCAAGTGATCATTAGTGTACAATTAGATTGGAAAAAATTTGAAAAAAATTTACACTAGGCCGAACGACTACCCAAACATCCTTCCGTTCGTCTTTTCGGTCGACCAGTTATTTGATGAAAATTAAAAATTTAGCGTTAAAACGCTTGGTATCAGATGAAACTTTTAACCCAAATCTTTACTCAAATTTGATAAAAATAAAAAATAAAAAAAAATAAACGCTAGAGATGCTCCAAAATCAAAGTTAGTGTAAATTATATTAAATTTATAGGATTTATTATATTTTCTCTAAATGTCAAGAAAAGTCTGTGTAAGTTACTTTTAGTTTGAGCAAAATTTCACTTTGATAGAGGTTCAATTTGAACCTTATATTTTTAATTTTGTTTCAATATAGAACTACCATCCATCATGCAAAATTAGAATTCAAAAAAAAAAAACTACAAAGCAAATCGCAATATTTTTTCCTTAAAAATTGTTAAGCAACACATAATGAAGATTACATTAGAATAATATTAAGAATTATAAAAAAAAAATATTATAAAATATTTTATAAAAAAATTTTATCCCTTGATTAATGCGTAGTGCTTTTATGTGTAATCTAATGGTAAAAATTCTTTCATGCCGTACTCATTGCATTATAACAAAAATAAAATTAAAATTAAAAGTACTAAAGTGAAACTTCTCCCAAACTTCGATGACAACTGCGTAATTAACCCATAAGTTCCAAACCCCAGATAAACCCTTGATCCTCCAAGTTCTCACCCCTCCTCTCTCTAAGCTTCAATGGCTCCCTCTTCTACCACCCTCTCACCATATTGAACTCCAAACCACCCACACCTAACCAACCATACCCACTCGCAGATTACCCATAAATGGTTTTTCTCAGAACCCTCCGTTCTCGCCATTTCCACACACTCCTAAACCCCCAAAACCCTCCTCCTTCCCAATACTTCAAAACCCCTACAACCCAATTCTTCCACAGACCCATTTTGCTTTCCGCACAATTCAAATCGGAATCGATCAGCAATCAACAGACAAAGAAGCCCTTGCACGTTCTGTTCAAGGAAGCCGTTGGATTATCCAAAAAAATCGAACCCATTGAAGCCTAGAACGAACCCGAAACCAATGAATTGAAGAAGAGATTGAGAAAATTGGAGGAAGAAGTGAGGAGGTTGAAAGAGAATAGTAGTGAGAAAGTAAGAGTAGAGAAATTGAAGAAAAAGAAGATTGAGAATGATGAGTCTAGTTCTAAGAGCTTGTACGCCTTGTTTGCGAATAAAGGAGGTGATAGTGAGAAATCTAGGATTGTGGAGTCTTTGAGGATGGAGGATCAAATGGTGTACAAAGAGCTTTCGCTCGAATTGGCTCTATTTGTGAAGCATTTGTACAAAGAAGGCTACTTTGTTAATGCTAATTTCTTGCCCAATAACAAGTTTGATATTACTTGTTTTGTGAACAGTTATGGCCGTGATTTTATTAGGTATGCCGTGGAGAAGTTTGGCAAGGATAACCAAGAAATTGTAAAGAACAATTCTTTGCCATCACTTTTTTCTTTATATCTATAGTTTGTTGTATGTTTCCCATTACATTAATGTAATAGTTTATCTACTTTTGTTTGAATGGTGATGATTGTTTTCTAGCATTAAGCTTTCAAATATTAATGTCAACAATTAAAAATAGGGTTGAAAACAAGCCGAGTAGTAGTAGTAGCAGCAGTAGGTTGTTTAAACTTGGTTTAATAATCATACGAGCTTAGACTTATGTTCAAGTTTGGTTTGTTTACATAAGGAGCCGATCTCAAACGGGATTTTAACGAGCCAAACACAAGTCGGGCTCGAGTAGCTTGGATTTTTATAGTATATATAAGCTTATCGAACCAAGTAATAGGTTATTCAAGATTGGCATGAAAACTTAACAAGCTTAAAATTGTGTTGAATTTTGGCTTGTTTACGTAACAAGTCGACCTCAAGTAGCGTGGTTCGTTTAACAGCCCTAAAAATAATGTTGGTTTTAAACCTTGACTTTATAAACCTATATGTGAAAGAACCTTTTATGGGCTGATGTGTGGTCTGATTAATTTTGTTTGAAGATAGAAGTGGGGATTCTGTTTGAAAATAGTTGTTCAAAATAAATTCCACGAAGTTGATTCGTGGTGTCCCTTTATGCAGAAGTCTTAGTCTAGCTGATCATGACATGCTTTACTGAAGAAGATATGAAAGTGATGCAACCTATGTTCTATAAATAGTTCTGGCATTTTCTTTGGAGAATGAAATATCAGTAAATCTGGCTTAAATAGATAGTTAAATCTCCATTCACTCACAAGGAATTGACAATTAACAATGGTCAATAAAACAGAGAACATGCTGAAAATTTCTAAGACATGCAATAAACTTAATTCTAATGTTTTTAAAATGTCACAATTTACTTCAAGCAACATAACAATTGACATGTAACAACCACAAAATTAAAGAGAAGAAAAATTGCCATAACTTGAAGCAACACCAAATCTAAAATTATAGTTGAAATTATTCAGGCTTCTATTGCAAAATCATACATAAGGGTGGAACATAGTGATCGGATGTAAACAATAGGAAACACGATTAAGAGAGATGGGACAAGAATGATTAGACAACAAGATTGTAAGTGGGAAAACAATGATCAAGGGATAGAATGGAAGGGGGTGAGCAATGTAGAGGAAGTAGGAAACTCACCAAGATGTATAACAAGAGAAGATGGAAAAGAACAAGAGAACATAGAGAAAGAGAAAAGGAAAAAGGAGTAAGAGGGAGAATAGCTGCAGCTCTTGATTGCGACACAAGGCTTAGTTTGGTTTGTTTTGGTTTGGAAATTAATCCTAGGGAGAGATGCTATAGTCATTTATTTGGCTCGAGAGTAACTAAGGGAAGTAGGTTGTCTGGCAGTATTGTTGAATGTGGTTCAGAAGGAAAGCTTCTCAGATTCCATGAGTTGGTGGGCATATGTTAAAAGACATTTTCTCTTCTGGAGTTTTCTTCACAATATTTTAATTGGTGACTGCCATTTACTTAATTTTTGGCTCAAAATGAAGGGCTTCCACATTAATGGTCTTATCTATATTCTTTACAAGTTTCTAAGGAAAACGTGTAGCACAATGTCCAAAAAACTTGTGACATGGAAGTGTGAGTGATTGACATCTCTGCATAGTTTGAGGCATTAAATAGTAACTTGCACCTGCAATACTTCATTTCCGTATCAAAACAGAATTAGGTTTGCTAGGGCATGTGCTGATTGAATTTGGTGTAATTGATAAGGTGGTTAAATGGCAAGTGCAGTAAATGAGCACCGGCCGTGTAAGAGAATCCAGTGCCCAAGGGCTATAGTGAAAGCTAAAACTGAGATGCATTGGTGGTCGTACAAGGAATAACATGCGGCAGTGATGGTGAGAAGGAACATTGACACTGATGAATTGTCTAAAATAGAAAATGAAAAATCATTGAAAGATATGTCTGACTTTACTGTTTCAGAAAACCTACATAACAGACAGGCACAGTTCAGCATGCGTGTGTATGTGTCTGAGTGGGTGAATGAGGGTGCGTGTTTGCTAGTCATGATGACGGTTCCACTTCCATTTTTTTTTTCTGTATTGTTTCCTTGTTTCCATCTGTTTGCTCCTTCAAGTCTTATGAACTTAAGTTACGGATGCACAGATGGTTGTCAGCCAGTGACTTGAAAAAGGTGGCCCTCTTTGGATGTCCTTCGCTCGGAAGGAAAAATGTCTTTTCTGCTAAAAGCTTGCTCAATTTTTTCAGAATTCAAGAAGACACCGTAAGTCAATTGTCTCATTGAAAAATTTCACCTCTCTAATCTTTCTGGTTTTATCTACATATTCTTATTGCCTTATTTTGGAAGAGACATTATTTTTATTTTTATTTTTATTCTTTTGTCATTGTTACATGATCACATTCAGGTATGCAGTAAATGCGCCTTGAAATCATCATGCAAGTTTGTGAATCAGAGTGTATGGAAAGGCAATAACAACAATTTGAATTTGGCTGTTGTAATGAGGGTCATACTTTTGTACGCCATGGAATCTGTTCCTCCACAGTTGGTAGCGCCTGACGAGATAAAGGCTTCTGTTAGTGTATTGCTGAAGGAGGTTCTGAACCTAAGCCAAACTCACGCATAAAGCTTTTTGACGGTTCCAATATAAAGTGGTCTTTCAGGTGCTTTAAATCTGGATTATTGTTCAGACTACTTTGTTCCTTGATAGGTTTGTTGGTTTATAGACAAGTAAACTGATTTGCTTTCATTCTCACAGTATTGTCAGTATTCTGATGCACAAATCTAGGAGATGAAGTGTGATGATCAATTTCTACGTTGTTAATAACTCATGCGGAGAACAATGCAAAAGATTGTTGTGAGTTACATTACATCTATGAATGATATTCGAGGGGTTGGTCATTTTGCTTGCCAAAAATATGTGAAAAGGGGCTCCTCTGTTGGATTGTGGGAGTGTCATCTTGGATTGGCTGGTTAGTGTACTTCATAAATGCTTTAGTTATTTATGTCTTCTCAAAAAAAAATTTGGCATTCAACAATTGAATAGAGCTTTTGAGATGCATATGTCAACTTATTTCTTTATTATATATGAATGGCCATTTTATCCATTTTAAATGTATAATGTTGTCAATGCATACAATAAAATCTGAAGTATTGGGTACTAAAGTTAAATTTCATGATTGAAGATCAGAATTGGTTTCTCTTTTTACCCCTCTTTTTTCTTTTTAAATCCCCAATGATATTATTCTAGCTTGTTCATCCCTGAAGTATTGAGTAAATAAATACTGAGAAAATAATCTTTCGTATATACAATGTAGTTGGGTCCCTCATTTTGATGATTTTGGTTCTGGTCTTCCATGTTATTGGGCCTATGATTATGTCCAAAATGATGTAAATTACAATGCAATGTAGCTATGATGTACTTTTTAAAAATGTGTGATATTAAAATTTACCATGATGCAATTGATGCTAATTTTGCCTCCCTAGGTTATTGAAAAGAATCAAAAAGAAAAAAACTTCACGATTAGATTGTTAAATGTTTAAGGGGAAAATCTTACCGTGATCTTGTAAATTACTTCATTAATTTTAATCATATCAATTTTGTTCTTTAATTTTTCATATTGTATCAATTTACTCTGTTTAATAATGTCCCTTAACAATTGGACTGAAATCAAAGGCAAAGTGGTCACTTTGAAAGGGAATTAATTGTTTCAAATTAGACATCAACCTTTTGATCAATCCAAGGGGAGTAAATACACTATTTAGCTTTTGATTTCTATCTAATTCCTTAAAACATTATCAATTAAACTAAATTAATATAATATAAAAATTTTACAGATAAAATCGATAAAATTAAAATTATGATTAAATTGACAAGAAACAAACTATAAGGTCACAAGTATGAGCTGGCTGAATACTTCAATTCTGCTCATTATGAGCAAGTGCTGAGATCTTGCACATGGCATTCTGGTGGCAAACATAGGATCATTTGCACAAAAACTCCTTAAATCATTGAAAAGTATTATTTTGACTCTTTAATTATAAAAATATATAAATAGATCTCTTAAACTATTAAGAAGTATCATTTTATACTCTAAACTATAAAAATGTACAAATGTCCCTAAATTATAAAAACATACAAATTGGACCGTTAACAGAAGGAATCAAACTGAAATATGTCAATTTTAGAGGAACAAATTGATACTTCTCAGTAGTTTAGGGAATTCATTTGTATGTTTTTATAATTTAGAAACTCTCCATGTAAATAACCTGGCAAAAATATGTAGGGCAAACCAGTGAGAAAGAGCTAAGAGGTTGGAGCAATTTCCAAGTTTGCATGCTGGTCAAGCATTCACCACAAGATCCGAATGCACTCAAAGGATCTGTTCATGTTTTCCTTTGCAACAATACTTACATTCAGAAAAATTATCAATATATATATTTGTGGACCATATTTTGAATATAATTCATATCACCAACTTTAAATTTACACTATGCACTTTATTTTCAGGGTATTTTTTTAGGTAAATAGCATTTCCTCTGCTTTGTGCAAGGCCTTTCAACTTATATTTCCTTAAAACTGATTTTTGCATCAAAAAAATATACTAATTTTTTTTTTTTGTTTTTAATATTTGTTACTAGAAAATTTTGTATTTTTTTCTTTTCATCTCTATGTAGATCTGCTCAACAGACACCGTACATGTAGATTTACCATTCCATTATTTTCTAAATATAATAGGTCTTATATATATGTGTGTGTGCGCGCGCATGCACGCAACATTGTTGTGTGAATCTATAAAATATGAGAAAAACAGTAAAATCTATCCAGTGATATATAACAACCCTCTTTTAATTTTGTTGCCCAGTGATACAAATATTTTGGAAAAATCCTATTTAGGTGAGATTTTTCACCTACCTGAAGAAACTTTGCCTTTGAAAACGTTAGCTAACACACAAATCAAAAAGAACAAAGCTACTACTATCCATGACCCCTATATTTTTAGGTTTGATATTGCACATATCCTTCATCTTTCATTGTTTTCATCAATTGCTTCCAAAACTTACAGGTACCCAAGCATTATGAGTACCTGGGTTGCCCTGCAAATCACATCAACCACAAATGCAGAAAGAGAGAGAGAGAGCCCAAATTGTTACACCTTTCGTGCAGGTCAAAACTTATCCGACAATCAAATCTTACCCAATAAGGAATTTTACTACCTTAGGACAGTTATAGTTATAACCACCAACTTGGTTACCCTGTAAGTTACTTCATTGACCTTACAGCACTGAACTAGGCAGAAATACCTAGGGCGCAAGACAATTCTCTTTAAGGAACACATCAAAATTGCCCCATAGCTTCGTGAGACAGGGTGCTCCTCTCAAAGGGCACCGTGCTGACCAGGTCTTCACAACTATTTACCAAGAACACAGTGCTCCACAAAGTTGAGAGAGAGAGAGAGAGAGAGAGAGTTCCCCCCAGTAAATGATTCACATACAAATCAGTTGAAAATCACCATTTCAATATATATATATATAAACGTTTCTTCCCAGCAATGAATTTTCTATAGTTTGGCATGTAAATTATGTACAATCAGGTAAGTTTCCATCACTGGCAACTCAGTACATATAGTTTGGAACTCACCTCTTCTTTTGGGACTTGTGCTGTACAACCCAACCACTCGTGTAACCGATTGCTTCTCCATATAGAACAAAGAATAGACACAGAAATTCACCATAAATGGAAAAGGTTGACATAGAATCTACAGTTGATCGATCACCTTTCAAGTTTCTGGTACAAATCTGACAGTGCATGATAGAGAATGGCAGCTGCAGGAGGCCGAGGCAACAATCCAAGAAGAATGTCTGATGCCCTGATGGATGGATTACCGTAGAATCTGGAATTTTCTTGGGTGTGGGTGGTGACAACACTCCCTTCAAGCGAGCATCCAACAAATGCACCTGGAAAAGCAAATATAAGCAATTTCATCATATCATCCATCCTAGTCTCCTCTTTAGTCATGTTGTATGACATAAAAAAGAACCAGTGGACAAAACTGTCTGAAAGATGGACATATGATATGAACACAAGTCATAGTAAGAGTTATCATTAAAACACGCCACAGAAATGCAAATATGCATGTTATGCACCAATCCAGTCTCAAAATACTGCCATTCACGTTCATCAAAAAGAACAAGCGCACAAGAAACACAAACTTCAAGCCTAAGAAGAATGGACACAGACGCGGGTACAAACACGAGACACAACGATTTTGAAAAAATTAGGATACAAACACAGCAGACATATTGCGAAAAATATATATTTTTTAATATATTTTTATTTGCTATGTATATTTACGGCACATAGATATAAGAGGCATCAACATATTTGTGGGTTTATTTTTAGTTTTTGGACTTTCCTAGCCCTTTGTTTTCTTATATTTTACTTTTTTTTTATCTCAAATTAGCTTTCTAAGACTCAAAATTTTTTTTTTTTTTAAAAAAACTCACAAAAGTGTCCAAAGGCATGTCAAAACACAGGCATATGTATCCATGAAGTGTCCCCAAAGGGTGTCCTGCAAACAAAAAAAAATGACACGCCACGTGGCGTGTCCGACATGTGAACATGCGTGTAGCTCGTCCCATGGATGCCCAGCTGCAGTAACCTACATTCTGTGCCAGCTAGGTTCCCTTATAACCAAACTAAATCAATCGGGAACTTGAACTTTTGATCATTTAAGATTTTATAAAGCCAGGCGTGGAAGAAAAATAATAGTAGAACCACCCCCAAGGTTCGTTTAAGATTACATATGACATGTTTAGTGTATGCATGCGTGTTTGCACAGAGTGACATAAAAACGCAGAATGCTTTGTGAAAAATTGCAAAACTCCTTTTATCAGTGAATTAGTATCCTTTCTACAAGCATCAGAAATCTTAATACATATAAGTTACTTACATCTACTGATATTCAAGACAGATATTTATATTACCTTGTCTGGGGCTGTCTAAATGACCACAACACAAGCAATAACATCACTAGGGAACAACAAATGAAAGGCAACCTGGATACTCTTGATAACTTGAACATCTTTTACACTATTGACCTTTAGCTCTATATGCAACTATTCAATGCAGCTGTGAAATTAGCTGGTAACATGAATGGATAGGAGAAAACCCCTAAAAGGTTCACGAGGCATTCCAAGACTTATTTAGGGGAGGGAGGGGTACCTTTACTGCAGCTGTAAGTATAGCAAGCAGCATAGCCACCATCACCAGCACGTACATCCGCTTCAGCAGCCCTTCCAACAATGCCAACAGCAGCACTCAAACCTGCTCCAACTGAGAAATGCACATTTCCGCTAAATGTCTGTACAGCACCACTTGTCCTCAACACAATTATAAAGTCTGTCAGTTCCCCTCCTGCCTGTTTCATTTCAAAAAAATATATAATAAAAATTAAATCAAACATAGTAGAACTAACGTCTATTGGAGCTCATATATATCATATTCAGTTCCAGCAGGGGAATTCTTCATAAAGGAATTCAAACTAGCTCCTCCATTACACATTAATTATTAGGCATTGGTTACCACCCACCACTTACGAAGCCAAACGTTCACTTATTAAAAGTAGCTTTCTAGGCAAGAAATGCAACATTGAAGGAATGTATATGACAGGTGACTGGAAGAAATCTGCATGAAATCAAGTCAATGATTTGTGCAAAGGTTTGAGAGCATAGTTCACAAAAGCTTTGCATTTCACATATGGTTCCAGCAGCCTCCCATCACAACTCATAATTCTAAGATGAACATAGGGAACACTCGCCTACTAGTAGACAGACCAAAACTTATGTATGATAGCGAAAAAATTTATATTTTCAAAGCTGATTATAAATTATTTTTAGTGGCTGGTAGGTTAGTAAGACATGGAGAGGGGAGAAGAAAATCATTCACTCACATTTAAAAACAAAAATATTACTTAAAAGGATTTTCAACAGCTAAGATAATTGAACCCATTGCACAGTTTTTGTTGTAAAATAGTTCTTAATTAGATATAATCATATTTATGAAGGACTTTGTAACCACTCCAGCAGAAAGAGGAAAAACTTCTCATTTCTCTCCAAAGGAAAACAGTATAAAGACTGACAAAAGCAAGTACACAGAAAACACACATTTCCTGTAATGTCCTCGAGGTTGAGTAACTTTTGTAGAGAACTATAAAATATATTTCACCTGAGCTCCCCAACCAATGCCAAATGTAGAAATGGCAGACGGTGGTGACCAAGATCCATCTTGTCTACGTGCAACAACTAGCCCTGTTCCAATGTTGTAGGTCACCATCACACCAACCTTTGCAACAGTAAGAATTGCAAGGCCTTTTGCTTGTTTTAAAATAGCATCTGGTATGGACTTTTCTGGTGTCAACAAGCCAACCTGAGTAATAACATTCCAGTATATTATAAACCATACAAACGTCTAACATATGAGCTGGACAGTTTTTATCTCTGAATGCATGGAATACTTGAGAAAGAAACAGAATCTGAACTGCATGACTGTGGTTTCATCCTCTTCATTCAAATGAGAGGCATCAAACAAACAAATCTAAAAACAAATCAAGTAACTACTCCACATAAAAACAAATAAAATAAACAAAATTATGGACATTTGCAGTCCTTCAAGTTAGCCTGCACAATCTAAGATTGTAAAACTCATACAATAGTTATACAAAACACATAAATGGACACAGTGAAACAGCTGGCTACAATTCCACATTTGTAAAAGCTGAAAAAGTTCTTTATCTAAAAGTACTCAAACAAAAGGCTTCATAGCATTAAATCAAAATGTTAGTGCTTCCTAAAAAAATTTAAGCCACGGATTTTTTTATTTTTTTATTTTGCTTTCACAGGAATGTAGATAATCTCTTATTAAAAAGGTATCGATCATCAACACAATCAACTTAAAAGTAAAAAGTATCAAAGGAAAGAAAAAAGACTACCTGATTGTAACCCCGAATGGTGTTTGTAGCCTTATAAATTTCATATTCCATGGACTGGCCCCATGGAAAATTAAGCCACGATCTCAACGTACTGAGGTCTGTCAGATCATGGGTTGGCAACTGTGCAGCACGACTTACTTGGTCCATTAAGTGTGACTGGACTGAATCAAGCCGCACACAGCACACATCACAAACTCGTTGCGGGTTCCCAGTGTGAAACTTGGCAGGTAACAAGCTCCTTCCCTTGGAACACTGATTGCAAAAAATCCCTCCACAAAACCGGCAGTGGTGCCTAGAGCACAGGATCGGATGGAAGCGCACATTACACAGCATGCAAGCAGAAGCAGCACTGTCAGCCAACCATTTTGGTGGCTCTGCTTCAAGGATTTCCCTTGCATTAACAAAATTAGCTTCCGTGAGGGTTTGAGCCATCTCTTTCCAAGCTTGCTCAAGAAGATTGTTTGATATCCAGGAAATCGCGCAACCATGGACATCACCTGAAGCAAGAGCAGTCACTTTCCCTCGGGCCACAAGTAGCATATCAAGAACCACATCCCACATAGTCATCTCTTTCTCTTCTCCAACAAACTGATTCCATCCCATGTCCCCATCAGCGAAGTAGCCCCCACCGAAGGAAAAACCCCTATTCCATTCTTCATGTTCGCTCCCTGACATCGGTGGAACAGAGACAGGTATCCAAACCCCAGTTTCTTCAGAAACTGGCAAGTCATAACAAAAATATTTGCCAACTGTATCATTGCCAGCATTTGAAACATTATGATTCTGCAGATCATCACCCACCATAGTGCCATCAGGTGCCTCGGTTTCATCATCTTTCAGCTGTGCATTTTCTTCATTTACCAAATTATCAGTGGCCGACAAACTACTTTCTTTCCTTTGTTCCTCAACATCTTCAGAAACCTGAACACCAGCACCCAGCAATGCAAATAAACAAGCAGCATTTTAAAAACTGATTTAGAAACAGATGACAGAAAAATGATACCCCTTTTGTCCCAAGTCCTTTTTGTCCATTTTCTTATATTGGAATGTCACACGATAGTTCTTCACTTTAAAAGTGAAGTGTACAAAATTTTGTTACTTTTCTAAACTATCATTTTGAAAGAGTAGCTCTGAAATCCACCACAGAAAATTTTCCCAAGTTTTGGATGCTCATGCTTCCCACTTGAGCATGAACGCGTTAAATGCCTGCCTCTCTAAACAGTTGGAATCCTAAAGGGACTGTGAACAGGGAATGGAGGGAACAACATCTATTGCACCATAAATTTGATCTTTGCACAAGTGAATATATATTGATAAAGCCACATCACATATAAGTTAACCCAAAAGATCATTGACAAACAAGGCCACCAAGTTGGATAAATAAACATGAAGTTGATAACGATGCAATCAACATAAATAGGGAAATATAACTAATGCATGACACGTTAGATGCCCAATGATAACAAGTAATCACCATGAAAGTCCCTAAGAAGATGGGAAAACAAAAAACAGAAGGGAAAAAAAAAAAAAACTAAGAAGAGAACTGCAGTTCTGAAGTCTGATTATCGAACTTAATAAAATTAATCATCTATTATAATGCTCAGGGGTACAAATAAGTAGTCAATGCTCTTCAGTTTGTCCCCCCATATTCACTTGATGCTTCGTATATTCATGCCTCTTATAATCAGGAAAAAGAAGAATCATGCTTATTATTAGGGAATGAACAATTTAGTTGAGAATCACACTTATGCTGCAAATAACACACACTTGCAACTTGGTAAGAGCACCCTTTCTAAATTAGAACCTAATAGTGAGTGGTAACTGAAGAAAGTTGTGTGTTTCTCAAAACAACCTTTGTACATTCAGTGATGATTTGAACAATCCCAGTACATTTCTACAACACAACTCTTAAACTATCATACACTTCCTGCATGCTTTTAAAGCTTCTTGAGCATGTCCTGTTTACTTCCCTCTAGTTTCTATACATTTAATTATTTTCCAAGCCCTAGATTCCTACTTTGTTTCTCACTCTCTACACTCAATTACACGACTATAGTTACCCTACTGGAGGTGGAGTTTCTTTTCAACTGAATTTTACAAATAGAGACTATAAACAGATTTTTCAATGGATTTAGAAAGTAAGGCACCTGTTGGTGGTTGTTCTGTCCATTAAAAAGCAATTAATCTGCTGACAACTAAATTATTTAAACTCCATATCTTTATAACATCCTCATACATGGAAACTATAAACTCCCAAAAGAAGGATGAAAACAAGGGAGTGGGCATTAATGATTGCATGTAATGGACTGCAAAATGAATAAAATTTCACATCCCATATTCATTCCAAAACCCAGGCAAATGGCCAGTATTCTATGATCTCATCCTCAATTCTTCTTCGCTTGAAATTAGTTTTTGAAATTTCAAACCATTAGTCTTGCCACTAACATTCACCCAGAATCCCAGATACTCTTGAAAAAGGTTTTGTTTAATTTGGCTTCTAGGTTATCATTGCTTATTATGTTTACCAACCAAATGACATTTGAGTCTTGTGACAAATTTTGACCTCATCATTTTCATAAACAACTGTTCCAAACCGGTTTCACTCCTACCCTAAATTTAGGTTTAAAACTTGAAAAAATGTATGAACCTCCAGGCTCCAGCTGCATATCCTAATTACAATATACAGCAACAAAAATCTCAACAGTAACCATCAATTACAACCTATAAGTTTCCACAAATCCCATGTATGTTTCTAAACATTATGCACATTATACAATTTTCAACTTTCCCATTTCCTTGGAATAATAACATGAATTAAATTTGCCCCTCTAGAGAAAACAATAAATTAATTAATTAATTAATTAATTAATTAATAAAAGTAGTAAATTTCATTACTTTTTAGCTCGCACATATCAAATTAAATTCGTGTATCTCTCTTTTTTTCCAAAAATTCAAAGTACAAATTATAAGAATTCAAAGTTGGCTCCGAAGCAGAATTCAATTAATCGAATTTTTCAAATTAAGCATCTCCATTTAATTACCAAGAATCTGTAAAAACGAAACACAAAATATAGATATTTTTTCCCTGAATCGGTAGAAAAATGGTTGCTTTATTTTCCTTTGGTTTTCTGATAAACCAAACAGAGGGGGGTAAGAGATTGATTACCGTGTGAGAGAAAAACTTGGGCTCGTAGTCGTCGAGTTGAATCTTAGGGTATAGAACATTAGCATCCATTGACGAGCTTTGACGTGGTGGAGAGTGGTGCTGATGATCAATCGAGAAGAATCGACATGACAGAGGGTTTTAGAGAGAGAA